GTGGATTATTACATGACATGTCATCCGGTAACCGTTAAGTAACAGGCCACGTCACACAATTTTTAACGGAAGGACCAAATCGGGGTAAAAATGGTAAACAGTAGGGACCAAATCAGAGATTTTTTTAGTTCAGGGACCAAATCGAGGGTCCGTACAATAGTCCAGGGACCAAAAAGGGGTTTTAACCAAATATAAATCAAAGTAGTTAATAAAAAGAAAAGAAAAAAAATTAAAAACTGTAATATTTAGAACCAAACTGAAGAAATCAAAAATAGGAGAATCAAAGTGTCAATTCATGAAAGATGAGAGACCAGACAGTTTTCCAATGAAGCAACAAAATTGCATTTTGGTCCAAAATCTCTGACATGAACTCTGCGTCCACTCTACAGTGAAGGTGTCAGTTACTTCCTTTGAAGTGTTGACACTGTAAGGACAGGTCCGAGGTGACAAGCCTCGGACTGCCACAGTAATTCCTTTATGACCGAAGTGAGGAATAAATCCAAAACTTCCCGCTCAAATAGCTGCATGACAATGACAATAAGCATGCTCGCACCTAATTCCTTATGAAGAGCGGCACAGCAAGTATGGTGGACATGTGTGCATATGAATACCTCTCAAATTCTCGGTCCCAAAATAATCGTCTGGATAGACACGTCAGGCTCCGATTATCTTGCTTGGCATGCCACGTGGGTTCCTCATTGGATCCTGTAAATACCCCCTCCGGGCCACGTCAAAAGGGAATTGAAACCAACCCTAAGCTCTTTTTATCTCCGCTCTAAAGGTAGCCCCAATTATTGTTGACTTAAGCATTGGAGTGTCTACCCCAAGTTCCACCTCGGGGCTTTGCAGGTCATCTCGGAGTACAAGCGCGGACTGAAGAAGGACTTCGGGTTTGGTGCAATTACATTGGCGCCGTCTGTGGGAAACGAATTGAAAGCTTTCTAGTTGCTCTTTCATCATGGTTCACACTCGATCAGTCAGAGCTGGTAATTCATCTCTGCCTCATGGGCAGGGTCAACCCTCCACCAACCTTCCACCTCTGATCCCACCTCAACTCCCACCTCAACTTACACCTCAGCTTCCACCTCAAGTCCCAATTATGTTCCCTCCTGTTGATCATGTAGAAGGAGGAGATGAAAACCAACCTCATGCCTCAGCTCACAATTCAACTTCCACTGCCAACCAAGACGTAGTGACAGCTCAGCTTGCTGCCATGCAGCAACAGTTCGGTGTTTTTCAGTT